ATGAAGAGGGGCCCGCTTTTTGCCCTGCTCAGAATTCCGTGGAAGCCATGCCACCTGCCCAGAGTGGTCCTGGGTGCGACTGTTGCACTCATTTTGTAGATGAGGAAGCTGAAGCATGAAGAGGCTGAGACATCTGCCCATGTCTTAGCTGTCACTTGGTCATAGTCCTCATGGTTAAAGGAGACTGAGCCCACTCCACACTCCAGGAACAGAGTGCCCAGGCCTGGCCAACCTGAGTGGCACATGCTCCAATGGCAGTGATGACAGTAACAATGTCTGCAGCTCTGGGAATGGGCTGGGGGCTGGACCCAGAGGAAGACAGCACAGCAGAAAGCCAGGCTTAAAGAGAAAGACCCTTCCCAGCGACATGGATGAGGGCCTGGCTTAGGTTACACTGCACATCACCACTCCCTCTGGATCTGGAATTCTGTGAACCAGAAAATGGGTCGACTTAGGTTTCTGTAACTTGTAACCAAAGAACAAGGCTGAGGCTGGGCATGGTGGCTCACGCCTGTATCCCAGCACTTTGAGAGGCTGAGGCAGGTGGATCACTTGAGGTCAGGAGTTCGAGACCAGCCTGGCCAACATGGTGAAATCCTGTCTCTACTAAAAAATACAAAAATTAGCCAGGCGTGGTGGTGCATGCTTGTAATCCCAGCTACTCAGGAGGCTGAGGCAGGAGAATCGCTTGAACCTGGGAGGCTGAGGTTGCAGTAAACTGAGATCACACCACTGCACTCCAGCCTAGGTGACAGACCAAGATGCTGCCTCAGAAAAAAGAAAAAGAAAGAGAAAAAAAGAAGAAAGCTGACTAATGATCCCGCTCAGTGTGTTGAGCCCCTATCTTCAAACGTGGGCAGCTCTGCAGTGAGCACCCTCAGGAGATGTACAGACTCCGAGGCCTGTGCTTGGAGCTTCCAATTGGCTGAACCTGGGCAGGGCCCAGGAGCTGAATGTTCAGTAAATGCTCCGATGCAGCTTCCCACTTTGGGAAGCCACGTTCTAGGGAATACTCTTTGGAAAATGCCACTGTCAGGAACACTTTTATGTGGGCTGTACGAACTTTCTCAGAGTTGCTTATGTTTCTAGCAATGTGCTATTACAAAAGGCACATCAGCCAAAGACCTTTAGAGGAGCTAACAACAGTACCTGGTGATTTTACCATCCTCATTCATTCAAGACTCAGCAGGGGTTAAGGAGCTCTGATAACTAATTTCTCCAGAAATGAGTTTTGTGTACCTGGAGCACACAAAACAGGTGATTCTAAGTAGGCCACCGAAGCCGAGAGAAGGGACTGGGACCACAGCTTATATTGCTCAAGTGTTCTCAGCCAACATGAACATCGAGGCTTAGCTGGATTTCAGGACTTGTGGATTCCTGAAGATGGGCATGTAAAATGCTACATTTATGGAAAGTAGGTTAGCAGTAGGTGCAATTTCATATTCTCTGACCCAGTAATTCTACTTCTTGCACTATGACCCAGGAAAATAATTAGAGAAGTGTGCAAAAACCATGCACAGAGATGCTCAACACAGCTGTGTCTCTGACACCAACTACCTCGACAACTTACATGCCTGTCAGCTGGGGAATGGTCCAATTAAGTTTGCAGCCTTTAAAAGCATGTTGCCAAGGAATTTTTACCACCTTGCTCACAAAACAAGTTACTGAGAATGTTGATACATATCTATATGCACACACATCCTCTGTATAATGTTGATATATATAGGTATATACATATATATACCATATAATCTCAATTCCTTGTTAAAAAATATAGATATATCTATGTCCATATATAAAATGATAGGATATCTACCAAAATAATAACAGTGATGATCTCTGAGTAATTTCTATTTTCTTCTTTATAATTCTATTTTCTAAATTAGAAATAGTTAAAAAATTAAAATATATCCTTTAAAAAGCAAGTTTTTGGACAATTTTTAATATAATGGAAAAAGCTTATGATATAAAATTAAGGGAAAATATAGGATACAAACACATATTCAGTGTGGTATCAATTAGTTTTTTGTTTGTTTGTTTGTTTTTTATTTTTTGAGAAAGAGTATTGCTCTGTTGCCGAGGCTCGAGTGCTATGGTGCGGTCAGCTCACTGCAACCTCCGCCTCTTGGGTTCAAGCGATTATCTTGCCTCAGCCCCCCAAGTGCTAGGACTACAGGTGTGTGCCACCATGCCCAGCTAAGTTTCGTATTTTTTAGTAGAGACAGGGCTTCACCATGTTAGTTTTTTGCACCAAGCCCAGTTAGTTTTTTAAAACTATATACATCTGGCTGCGTATGGTGGCTCACGCCTGTAATCCCAGCACTTTGGGAGGCCAAGGCAGGCGGATCACGAGGTCAGGAGATCAAGACCATCCTGGCTAACACGGTGAAACCCTGTCTCTACTAAAAATACAAAAAAATTAGCCCGGCAGGCATAGTGACAGGCGCCTGTAGTCCCAGCTACTCAGGAGGCTGAGGCAGGAGAATGGTGTGAACCCAGGAGGCGGAGCTTGCAGTGAGCCGAGATCGCGCCACTGCACTCCAGCCTGGGCAACAGAGCAAGACTCCATCTCAAAACAAAACAAAACAAACAAACAAACAAAAAAAACTATATACATCTATACAGTCACACTGCACTTAACAACGTTTCAATGACAGATCACATATAGGATGGTGGTTCCATAAGGTCATAATACTATATTTTTACTGTACCTTTTCTTCGTTTACATAGGCTTAGATACACAAATACATACCACTGTGTTACAGCTGCCTACAGTATTCAGTACAGTCGCATGCTGTTCAGGTCTGGAGCCTGGGAGCCACAGGCTCTACCATACCGCCCAGGCGTGTAGTAGGCTCTGCCATCTGTGTTTGTGTAAGGACACTCTATGATGTTCACACAATAACGATGTCGCTTAACGACACAGTTCTTAGAACATCTCCCAACATTAAGTGATGCATGATTGTATATATGATTATATAAATATATATACAAAACACCCAAGAAAATCTTAATAACTGTTCTATCTGCATAGTGGAATTGTAAGTCAGTATTTTCTTCATTCCACTTGCATATCCTTCCCAAACTTTATATAATGGGAATGCATTATATTTCTTTTTTTTTTTTTTTTTTTGAGACGGAGTCTCGCTCTGTTGCCCAGGCTGGAGTGCAGTGGCGCGATCTCGGCTCACTGCAAGCTCCGCCTCCCGGGTTCATGCCATTCTCCTGCCTCGCCCCCCAAGCAGCTGGGACTACAGGCGCCCGCCGTCACGCCCGGCTAATTTTTTGCATTTTTAGTAGAGATGGGGTTTCACCATGTTAGCCAGGATGGTCTCGATCTCCTGACCTTGTGATCCACCCGCCTCAGCCTCCCAAAGTGCTGGGATTACAGGCGTGAGCCACTGCACTCGGCCTACATTTCAAGTCAGAAGAAACACAATCAATTGTATTTATTTATTTATTAATTTTTTTGAGACAGGGTCTCGCTCTGCCTCCCAGGCTGGAGTGCAGTGGCACAATCATGGGCACTGAAGCCTCCACCTCCGGGGCTCAAGTGATCCTCCTGCCATGGCCTCCTGAGTAGCTGGAACCACAAGCACGGGCCACCACACCGAGCAATTGTTTTGGGGGGGATGGGGATAGAGATGGGATCTCCCTACGTTGCCCTGGCTGCTCTCAAACTCCTGGGCTCAAGTGATCCTCCCGCCTTGGTATCCCAAAGTGTTTGGATTACAGGCGTGAGCTGCCACACCTGGCTTAACTGCACTTTAAACAATAGTTTACATGAGGAACATTTCCCTGAGATGCTTCTTGACGCTGCTTGGGGCTCCTTGCATCTGCGGGTGCTTTTGCGGCACGGTCATGAGGGATGACTGCACCCTTTGTGCTCCACAGCCCGGACAAGCACCCACCTCCCAAAGGTGCCCCATTAACACCTGCTAGGTTAAGAGCAACTAGACAGTGAGAATAACAATGATGATAATAACTCCCTCCCTTCCCTGAGCTCTTCCTGTGCACCCAGCACCATGCCCAGGGCTGCGTAGGCATCAATCCCCTCCTCAAATCCTATGAGGCTGGCTGGGTGCGGTCGCTCATGCCTGTAATCCCAGCACTTTGGGAGGTTGAGGCAGGGGGATCACTTGAGGTCAGGAGTTTGAGACCAGTCTAACCAATATGGTGAAACCCCGTCTCTACCAAAAATACAAAAATTAGCCGGGCATGGTGGTGAGTGCCTGTAATCCCAGCTACTCAGAAGTCTGAGCCAGGAGAATCGCTTGAACCTAGGAGGTGGAGGTTGCAGTGAGCCAAGATTGCGCCACTGCAGTCCAACCTGGGTGACAAAGGAAGACTCCACCTCAAAAAAAGAGAAAAAAATCCTATGAGGCTGGTCCTCACTCAGCAAGGGGCAGGGCTGAGACGGCAGCCCTAGTCCGTCCAATTCAACACCATGGTTGCAAGACCCATGCTCTAACCAACATTGAATTTCCATGAGGAGCGTGCTTTTTAGAAACAGCATATCTTGGCCAGGCACAGTGGCTCACGCCTGTAATCCCAGCACTTTGGGGGGCCAAAGGGGGGATCATGAGGTCAGGAGATCGAGACAATCCTGGTTAACACAGTGAAACTCCATCTCTAATAAAAATACAAAAAAATTAGCCGGGCGTGGTGGCGGGTGCCTGTAGTCCCAGCTACTCAGGAGTTGAGGCAGGAGAATGGCATGAACCCGGGAGGCGGAGCTTGCAGTGAGCCGAGATCGCACCACTGCACCCCAGCCTGGGCGACAGAGCAAGACTCTGTCTTAAAAAAAAAAAAAAAAAAAAGCATATCTCTACCATAAGGCAGTTACTCAGGAGTGCATCTGAAATGCCCAGAACTGTCTTTCTGATCCATTTATGCAAGAAAAATGTGCAATTTTTGCTTTGACCTATAATGTTTGTTCCCAGAGGTTGTTTTTTATAAATAGCACATCCCGTTGCTGCTCTTGTTTTCATTCTCCCTACCTTCTCTTCAGATGGGTAAAAGCCAATTGCTCTCATGACAAAAGGAAGCTCCGACAGGCAAATGTATTCTGACACCTTTCTGGTCTCCATCGTGTCGATGCCTTGACTGCGGAGCTGAGAATAGTAGAAGTAGTCTTCTAGCTCCTACGTAGGAATAGAACGGAAACACAACACACGTTTAGGCTTAAGTCTGAAGGCATCCATGAACACTTCAAAGACATTTTCTAGAAAGTACATTTTAAGCTCAATGGGGGAACAAAGCTTCGGAATTTTAAAGCAAGAAGGTTAACCCCGGGCACATTTGCTTTACAAACTTAACTCGATGTTACCAGGAAGTGTTTACTCTAGGGACAATTACCCTGTAGAATTTTCCTTCCCGGCCACCAGACAGCAGACCATAGAATGGGGTCAAGTCTTCACCCCCAAGAGAAACCGCTGCCTCCAGGACACTGGAACAACAACAGAAATGTCCCTATTAGAAAGCGCTCAAGCGTGAGCATGGCTCAGAAGGTGGTCCGCACAGCACTGCGGCCCTCTGAAGGGTATCACGGCACAGATACAGTGAGGGTCTCTACACACTTGTTAAGAAAAAGTCCTTTAAAATGAAACCAAAACCAGAAAATTCCATTTCAAGCGTGGAACTCAGAGGTAGAGGGCACCCGCCTTAATTATGGTGATATTCTCTCGGTGATGACAGGGCAGGTGCTTGGCAATTTGTCTGTAATCTTTGGGGAACACGTGTCTCCTGGGGGTGGGGGAGGCATCTGTGTTCTGAAACCACAATCCTCCCAGACAGACGAGCCTTACCCAGAACTTTAGATCCACAAACGATCAGAGTCAAAAGAATGGGATATTGTACAAGTGGACTGCCAACACTAATTGCTTCCATAAAAACTCAGGAGACCACAGGGACCCATGCCAGTCAGATAAAAATAACCCTCTGCTCTCTAACACAAGGTCAGATTTTCCAAAAATAGGCCCTTTCAATGGTAAGAAAACCTACTTTTCTATGAGACCAACTTTGCCTCCTACAAAAGGCTAATCATCAGAAATCATTCTAATAATCCACTAACTGGATTATTGCTAATCGGGCGATTAGCCTCTTTGCTGTGACATCAAACACACCTCATGTAGACCACAGTGGGGAAGTGGGGAAGTGTCCAGAGTGTGGAGTCACACGGACATGTGTGCAAGTCCCGGCTCTGCCCCTGGCAAGCTGTGTGACTCTGGGGAGGTGACTTAACCTCCCTGGCATCAGTGTCCTCCATTATAAAATGCGAAGATTCTGCCTTGCAGCACTGTTGTAAGAATTAATAAATGCATACCCAGTATACTAGTCTGTTATCATGCTGCTAATAAAAACATAACTGAGGCTGGGCAATTCACAAAAGAAAGAGGTTTATTGGACTTACAGTTTCATATGGCCGGGGACGCCTCACAATTACGGCAAAAGGTGAAAGGCATGTCTCACATGGCGGTGGCAAGAGAGAGAATGAGAGCCCAAGTGAATCGGGTTTCCCCTTATCAAACCATCAGATCTCATGAGACTTATTCACTACCATGAGAACAGCATAGGGGAAACTGCCCCCATGATCCAACCATCTCCCACCAGGCCCCTCCCACAACATGCGGGAATTATAGTAGTGCAATTCAAGATGAGATTTGGGTGGAGGCACAGAGCCAAACCATATCATTCCACCTCGACCCCTCCCAAATCTCATGTCCTCATATTTCAAAACCAATCATGACTTCCCAACAGTCCCCCAAAGTCTTAACTCAATTCACATTCACTTAAAAGACCATAGTCCAAAGTCTCATCTGAGACAGGCAAGTCCCTTTCACCTGTAAAATCAAAAGCAAGTTAATTACTTCCTAGATAGAATGGAGATACAGGAATTGGGTAAATACAGCCATTCCAAATGGGAGGAATTGGCCAAAACAAAGGGGCTAGAGGCCCCATGCAAGTCTGAAATCCAGCAGGGCAGTCAAATCTTAAAGCTCCAAAATGATCTCCTTTGACTCCATGTCTTATATCCAGATCACGCTGAGGCAAGAGGTGGGTTCCCATGGTCTTGGGCAGTTCCATCCCTGTGGCTTTGCAGGGTACAGCCTCCCTCCTGGCTGCTTTCATGGGCTGGCATTGGGTGTCTATGACTTTTCCAGGCAAACGGTACAAGCTATCAGTGGATCTACCATTCTGAGGTCTGGAGGATGGTGGCCCTGTTCTCACAGCTCCACTAGGCAGTGCCCCAGTAGAGACTCTGTGTGGGGCCTCTGACCCCACATTTCCCTTCCGCACTGCCCTAGCAGAGGTTCTCCATGAGGGCCCCAACAAACTTCTGCCTGGGCATCAAGGTGTTTCCATACATCTGAAATCTAGGCAGAGGTTCCCAAACCCCAATTCTTGACTTCTGTGGACTTGCAGGCTCAGCACCACATGAAAGCTGCCAAGGCTTGGAGCTTGCACTCTCTGAAGCCACAGCCCGAGCTCTACATTGGCCCCTTTCAGCCATGACTGGAATAGCTGGGATGCAGGGCACCAAGTCCCTAAGCAGCACACAGCATGGGGACCCTGGGCTTGTCCCAATAAATCTGGTCAAAACAAAGGCCTCCAGGACTGTGATGGGAGGGGCTGCCATGAAGATGTCTGACATGCCCTGGAGACATTTTCCCCATTGTCTTGGGTATTAACATTTGGCTAGTGGTAACATATGCAAATTTCTGCAGCCGGCTTGGATTTCTCCTCAGAAAATGGGTTTTTCTTTTCTGTCACAGTCAAGCTGCAAATTTTCCTAATTTTTATGCTCTGCTTTCTTTATAAAACTGGATGCCTTTAACAGCACCCAAGTTACCTCCCGAATGCTTTGCTGCTTAGAAATTTCTTCCGCCAGAGGCCGGGAGTGGTGGCTCATGCCTGTAATCCCAGCACTTTGGGAGGCCGAGGCAGGTGGATCATGAGGTCGGGAGATTGAGACCACCCTGGCTAACACGGTGAAACCCTTTCTCTACTAAAAATACAAAAAATTAGCCAAGTGTGGTGGCACACACCTGTGGTCCCAGCTACTCAGGAGGCTGAGGCAGGAGAATCGCTTGAACCCAGGAGGCAGAGGTTGCAGTGAGCCAAAATTGTGCCATTGCACTCCAGCCTGGGTGACAGAGCGAGACTCCATCTCAAAAAAAAAAAAAAAAATTTTCATCCACCAGATACCTTAAATCATCTCTCTCAAGTTCAAAGTTCCACAAATCTCTAGGGAAGGGGCAAAATGCCACCAGTCTCTCTGCTAAAACATAACAGAGTCACTTTTGCTCCAGTTCCCAACAAGTTCCTCATCTCCATCTGAGACCACCTCAGCCTGGACCTTAGTCCATATCACTATCAGGCTTTTGGCTAAAGCCATTCAACAACTCTAGGAAGTTCCAAACTTTCCCACATCTTCCTGTCTTCTTCTGAGCCCTCCAAACTGTTCCAACCTCTGCGTGTTACCCAGTTCCAAAGTCACTTCCACGTTTTCAGGTATCTTTTCAGCAGTGCCCCATTCGACTGGTACCAATGTGCTGTATTAGTCCATTTTCACGCTGCTGATAAAGACATACCTGAGACTGCACAGTTTACAAAAGAAAGAGGTTTATTTGACTCACAGTTTCACATAGCTGAGGAGGCCTCACAATCATGGTGGAAGGTGAAAGGCATGTCTCACATGGTGGTGGCAAGAGAGAATGAGAGCCAAGTGAAACAGGTTTCCCCTTATCGAACCATCAGATCTCATGAGACTTATTCACTACCACGAGAACAGCATGGGGGAACCACCCCCTAACCAGTCCAACTGTCTCCCACCAGGTCCCTCCCACAACACATGGGAATTATCAGAGTACAATTCAAGATGAGATTTGGGTAGGAACACAGAGCCAAACCATATCACGAGGATTGGAGACAAAGTCCTTTATTTTCCTCCTGTAATGAACGTTTGTTAAGGTGTGGGGTGGACTTAGAAAGCCCTGGCTGTGAATCCCAGCCCCACTGCCTCCTCCATTGTTGGGCAGTCATCAGACCCCTTGGAGTTAGCTTCTTGATATGTTTGATGGGGATAATAGTGGTGCCCTCTCCCAGGATGGCTGAGGATGAAATCAGATGATGCATGGAACTCACTCAGTGTAGGCCCTGGCCCTGAGAAAACTCAGCACAAGTGGTTGGGATTATTGCGGCCGTGGAAAATGGGTATCGGCCGCACCTACACCTTTCTTAGGAAGAGTTTGCTATGCACTGTCCTGGGTCCTCTCACCGAGGCATGCATAAGCCCACGGGTTGGCTTAAGGTCTGAGGAACCTGGGTATTCTCCAGGGGTGCCTGAGGGCCCCTCCAGAAGGGCTGTGTCTTCCCCACTTCTCAGCTCGAATATTAGGCCATGGAGGCAAGTGTCCAGCCGAGAGGGCTCCCTCTCTGTGGCCTCCAGGCCAGGCCCAGGCCCAATCCCGACAAGCTCCGTGAGTGGCAAGGCCACTTTTGCCATGTGACTCTGGAGCAGGGCCAGGTAAAGACCGGAAGTGACAGAGAGGAACCTGTCCCCACCAGGAGCCCCTGAGGGGAAAGGCTGGCAAGAGCACCTGGTCCTCTGGGAATAGCCTGCGGCTCCCGCCCCGGTGTTCAGAGTTCCACTACATCCCCTGCCTCCTGGCCACCATCAACTGACCCCAGAGGGGACCGGGGGCTGCACTGGGATTTCTCCAACCCACGCTGGGAAAGAGACGCCCTCTGTCTGTGGTGAGAGTTCTAATTTGTGAAATCTGGGAACTGTGGGCGGCCATCTTCCTGCTGAGTAAGGAAACCCAGTTCTGCAGAGAATGAAGCCAACAGCAGGGCCGAGAGGACAGCAAGTGCTGCGGGCACAAGTGTGCCGCTGTCCATGACCTTCCTGCGGTGTAGCTACATGTGATCCCAATGACCTTCTCATATGTTCCCTTTTGCCTAATTTGTATTTCTAACACTTGCAACAGAAAAGAGGTCATTAGGGCAGAAAAGGGAAATGACACTTACTGAAAACCTGCTCTGTGCCCAGCAATCCACACAGTACTTCTGGGAAGGAGCTAGAGTTCTCAGCCCTGTGGCAAGCACACAGTAGGTGCTCTGTCAACGCTCCCTGCAGGAGGCGGAGGAGGAATGGTCTCAGCTTGGTGGGAGGAGTCCCATTTAACAGCTGGAGGAACTGAGGCTCCAAGAAGTGAAGGGACTTGGCTGGCGTCATCCAGCAAGCCGGTAGTGACTAGCTAGGATTCAAATCAGGGTCTCTCTGCTCTTGGCTGAGCAGGGCAGCAGGATGACAGGAGGCAGGGAGGCTGAGCACAGAGAAGTAATGAGGGATTTTGAAACAGATGTCAGACAAGGAGAGGAGAAAGGGTGGCATGCTAGCATGGAGGGGCAGAAGGGGAGTGCGGAATGAACCCTGAGAGAGGGGATGGAAGGGGCTCTCCTGGGGCAGAAGTGCCATAGACTGTGATGGTAGCAGTTGGGGCCAAGGGGGGCACTGACTGAAATGATCGAACGTGAGGGGATTTATCATTTTTATCTCCCCTACAACTCATCGTCAGTAACTCTAGTAGGAAATTTTGTTGGTTACTTGTTTAGGTTTTTACATTTCTTTCCGTTAGTGAAGTGCTGATCATATTAAGTCACCAGAAGCAGCAATGAAGTGCTAATTAGTTTATAATAATCCTTTGTCCCCACCACAGATTAAATTGAAATTCTCAGAAGCCTGGACTCTGGCCAGGCGAAAGCTATTGGAAAGCAGAGACCTTTTTTTCTTTTTCTTAAATTTCTACCATTCCAGATCCCAAGACGACTGAGAAGAAAACAAACATTTTAGAATGTTCTAGCCGGGTGCAGCGGCTCACATCTGTAATCCCAACACTTTGGGTGGCCAAGGCTTGAGCCCATGAGTTCAAGACCAGCCTAGGCTTGGTGAGACTCTCTATCAACAAAAAAATAATTTTTTAAAAGTTAGCCAGGCACAGTGGCATGTGCCTGTGGTCCCAGCTACTCAGGAGGCTGAGGCAGGAGAATCGTTTGAGCCCAGGAGTCCGAGGCTGCAGTGAGCCACGATCACTCCTCTGTACTACAGCCCGAGTGACCGAGTCAGACCCTGTCTCAACAACAACAAATAGAAAGGAAGGTTCTGCTTGTCCCCACAAAGTGTGCCTTGTCCCCATGGTTCCAGGCAACAAGCCAGGGAGCAAGGAACCAGGCAGCCATCCTGAGGCCGTGATCCCTTTTCAATGGGAGAGTTCACCTCCAGCTCCTAAATCCCCAAGTTCCCATGACCTGCTCTCTCAGGTGAAGGCGGGGTGGAAGTCAGAGCTGCAAGTGCAATCTCAAACACCGTGGTTCCAAAGCAGATTTAACTGGCTATTTTTGCTCATATTCAGGTTAAGAGTAGAAGCTTCAATATCCGCCATAAAAAGAAAGATGTGCACTTGGCAGATGGCAGGGGGTACACTGTGCTGGCAGCCAGGAATCAGGTTTGTTCTGTGAGGAAGGAAGGTGCCTCTGAGCTGTTTTTGCTCCTCAACGTCACACTGCCAGGAGAGAGGCCCAGGCGAGCCACAGGCAGCGCAGGGGCTTGGAGAAGTGGTCAGGAACAGGAACCGGCTGCCACGTGGTTGACTCTGCCCTGCGGCAGCACGCTGAATTTGGGTAGATGAGAGGACAGTGTGGGTGCTTGTCCCCTCTTTATTAGGGAAGATCCTGAGCTCATAAGCAAATGCCCTTACAGGAAGAAGAGAAGAAAGGAAATCATTCACTTGCTGAGTACTTCGCTCTGTGCTAGGCGCTTTTCCCATATTAAACTACCTGATCTTTATAGGGATCCTACAGAAGTCCCTATTATCACCCCACTTTGCAGGCAAGGACTCTAAAGATCAGGGACATTAAGAAGCTTGCCCTAGGCCCCATAGCCAGTAGAGAGTGGCCCCATATTCAAACTCATATTACCCCTTTCACCTCAAAGTCCACATACTCTCCAATGTTCAACTCTAGAATTCTCCAGCCTCGCCTCAGGCAGAGGTTCTCCGTTCAGAGCAGGGAGGGTGAGAGGAGGAGCCGAAAATACCCACGTCAAATGATCCTCTTACTATTTCCGTAGTGCATGCTTTGGAGGGTCAGCCTAGATCTTTCTAGCAGGTGTGGCTATGCAGAGCAGAGGGAGAAGCATTTGAGGGAGCAGGGGTGACCCCAAGGTGCTGTCACATTGCCTGAACTGCAAACACCATTGGTCCATGGAACAGGACAGTAACCCCCGTCTGCAGAGTAATGTGAGCCATGCCACTGGGGAGCAACCTGAGGGCCAGGCCCTGTGACATCCTAGCACAGTACCTGGCACACAGTAGGGTTCAGTGTCTATCACTGTCGCTGAGTGAAACAGAGTTTACACTTGGTACCTTCCTTCTCGCCCCGTCGTGTACCTTAAGGTGATTTTCCACTGCACCACAGAGCGATCGTGCCCTCCTGCGGTGAAGGCGTAGCGGCCATCATAGGAAATGGCCATGCCAGCCACCCCGTTTGGGTGACAAACAATAGCAGATGTCTTATGTGGATTGCCGTCAACTGGTAAGATCTGAAGTCCAACCTAGAAAGGAACACATAATTGGATATTCAGACTCAGGTAGCTGGGCCCGAGAGGCCTGGCACATTCACATGTCACCTCCAGATCTGTGTGCCAGAAGGACCTGTGTGTCTGGACCCATCTCTGAGGGTGAGAGCCACATATAATGTAGCTGGGCATCCACACACACCAGCCCTGGTAGGGGCCCCTCGCACAGCTCTAACAGATACACAGAAGGGAAGCTTTCCTCCCTGCCTTCATGGTCAGTTGTCCCGGGTTTTCCAGAATAAATCTCACAACCTATGACTTTACACTTTTTTTTTGAGACAGAGTCTGGCTTTGTCGCCCAGGCTGGAGTGCAGTGGCGCAATCTCGGTTCACTGCAAGCTCCGCTTCCCGGTTCACGCCATTCCCCTGCCTCAGCCTCCCGAGTAGCTGGGACTACAGGCGCCCGCCACCACGCCCGGCTAATTTTTTGTATTTTTAGTAGAGA